CTTGGAATGTAGATAATCTCAAAAAGTACTACTTCTAGAAATTGTATAGTTTTTGTATATTTCTATATAATTAATGAGAAAAATTTACTGCATATAGTGCTTACATGCGCCTTGTCTTGTGCTTAACATAAGCGGCACCCTTTACTTATTTCCCATGCGCCCTGTCTTGTGCCCAACACAAGCAAGCCCAGAAATTTAATGAATCAGCCGGTGACACCCATTCGGGTGAATTCATCAAAGAGAGCATCTCCCATTTGGGTGGAAAATTTTTCTAGTGATAAAAAATCAGGTGGCCCTAACCGCCTGATTGATCCATAGTTCCAAAGAATTGCGGGTTAGCATTCCCAAACATGCATCTGGCCCCCTCTTTGGATCGAGTATCATTCAAGGATGATCTCAAAACAGACAGCCGGTACCTAATGTCCTGCCTAATCGACTAAGAGAAGGCAGGTAGGAAAGCATTTGGGTTAGGCCAAGAATTTACGAAGGGTGTTCTTGCGAAAACCCAACCGGCAATCGTTACAAACGGTTGATGCTTGGCACTTAGCTAAAGCCTTAGCATTCGCGCTATAGCATATGGATAGCCGCCTGGCACCATTTCGTTTATATCAGTCTCTTATCCAGGGGCAATTACCTACCCTAATCCCAACAAGTCATGCGGAAACACATTCATTCAAAAAACATGCAAGGCAAAACCACAAAAAAAAATTTATAGTTACGTGAAAGAGTTGCTTGTGAAGACTCAGACGGTAATTGTACCGCCTGGGTTCTCTTGTCTACCCTCGCAAATTTCTTTGCTTACCTTCACAAATTTCTTTTCCTAGCTTACGAAGACACAGACGGCGGTTATGCCGGCTGGATTTTCTTGGCTACCCTTGTAAAATTATCAAAGTAAGAAGTGACATTCAAAACATTCAAAACAGCAAAAAGGAAAAGAAGCAAATTCATTCAAAAACCGGACCAACCGGTTGAAACTTAGCAGAAATAACCGGCATAGCCGCTGAAAATGTTAAGATTGTTTACAAAAAGATAAACCGGCACAGCCGGTAAAAATGTTAATGCTCAAAGTAGAAGACTATAGTAGAGTAGTCCGACCCTTCCGGCGAAATTACAAGATAATGAACAGCGCGCAGGCCAGGAGGTCGTTGCTACTCTACATTCACTATAACCCGGTCGCCCTGAGCTTGGTTCCCTTCCGCATGAGCTGTGTCGGTGTTGGGGACGGAGCCGGGATCCTCATCCTCGACTGTCGCCTCCAAAGCAGCCGCTTCCGCCTGCATACGCTGGAACTCGGCGTCCACCCACTGCTCGTACGGTGCGGGCCCCGGGTGACCCTCTTCTTCAGCCGGGTGGATGATGGAGAACGCCCTCTTCATTCGGTTTTGGCAGTCCTGCGCATTCTCCTCTATGAGCCGGCTCTGATCAGCCTCTAGGGTGGACTGGAAATTACGCTGAGCAGCGGCAGCCTCCTTGACCAGGCGATCATTCTTTAATTGCAGCCGTTTGCTTTCCTTTTCCGCCTGATCGAGCCGCTTGAGGGGCTCTTCATGCTTTTTCAGCTCATTTTCAGCGTTGTCCAGGGTCGCCTGGAGGTTGTCCATTTTGGTCCTTTGCTCTGAGAGGGCCCGTTGGAGGGACTTGACCTGATCCGCCTGTTGCATGATTATAGCTTTAGTTTCTAAGTCATGCACAATCATGGAATAGTGAGCAACGCTATGCGCGTCATCCGCAGAACGTTTGGCTCATCTTACCTCTTCCTGCTTGCGGATGTAGGCCCTCTTAAGCCCCTCCACGCGGAGCAGTGCCTGCAACAACAACACGACCGGTATTAGTTGAAAGACCGGATGGGTATATAACAAATTACGTGCCGGGTGGGTACTCAATTACTTACATCGGCCAAATCGACCATAACCCGGTCGGCATTGAAGGTATTGATTCCAAGAATCGCCTCCTTCTCTTCCCGGGGGACGACTTTTAGCATGGCCCGGGCGTATTGAGCAGCGTCCGGCCAGCGTGGTGAGTTATCTGCACCAGAAACAGACGGTGAGAATGCTGCGTACGCTCCACCAAAGGACAGCCGGCTGATCGGAGAATCTCCCGGCTGCGAAGAGGAGTACGATTTTACCCGCATGGGTATGTCGAGCAATGCGAGATCAAAAGGGTTAGTACCTTTTTGGGAAGCCTTTTGGCTTCCAGAAGCAGATGGACCGGTTGCGGTCCTTATTGGAGTGGCCTCTAAGGCCTTCTCAGTGTTGGACCCGCCTGGGGTCTTTATTGATTTACCGCCGGTAGTAGCCTGGTCGGTAGAAGCAGTTCTCGACACCTTTAGTGCCGGTTCCTCAACAGACGGCCTTTGCCGGATCTGTTTTTGTAAAGAACGGGGAATAACACCGTCCTGAAACAAAACCGCAAGCGGTCAGATGAATAACTAGCCAAAGAAACAACATAGCAAATCATATAGAGGAGGTCAGGCGGTTTAACCTTTTAGCCGCCTTAGCGGCAAGTTTCTTCTCCAGATTCTCCTTGCGGATATCTAAAGCCTTCCTTGCGGGTGTCTTGGCGGAAGGTAACATCTTCTTAGCTTCTTCTGCAAAACGAAAATACATCCGGTCAGAAATATGAATCTTACATTGCAATAAAGAGAAAAAGGACAGCCGGCAACAAATTAACTGGCTAGGGTTCTTAACCTTTGGTTTTCCACATTTTTCTAAGCCTGCAGGCGGACAAGAAACACTCGTCCTTGAAAAATTCGAGTTTGGGCACCCAGTTCTTGGGTACCCTTATTATCTCTCCGGATGTGAGAGAGGTAGAGGTCAGTTTGAAGAAACCGGAGTCTAGAATGGCCACCCGGTCGGTATCAGGGACAGGGGGCAGCCGACACTTTTGTCCCAAAAGCTCTGGCTTCCGGTTGTAGGTCCGGTATTCTTTGTTCTCCTCTTAAGACGGAGCTTTCACCAGGTAGAACCGGTTCTTCCAGTCTGACCACTTGGACGGCTTGTCCAAGGTCATCATGTACTTGGGGTGAGTAGTCAAGGTATACCAGGCCCTCTAGCCACCAGGGCTCCGGCTCAAATAGTGCATGTGGGCAAACGCCTCCCACCCGCGGTTGAGACCCTGCATCTCGCAGGTGGCGATATACCCTAAAATATTCACCCAAGAATTTGGGGTGAGCTGCCAAATGCCAAGGCCATACCCCCTAAGTATGGCCCTGATTGTGTTATGAAGAGGGAAGCGGACGCCGGCTAAGAAAGCCGCCTCGTAGCATCCAAACCAGCTGTTAGCATTAGGCTGGTCGTCCTCCCATACAACCGTCCCAAACTCCCCCGGCACGGTCATCTTATATCCTTCACCAAGCGGCCGCCTAGTGATAAAGTCTTGAAGGGAAGACCGCATGAGGGCACGGTCCCTCAAGGAGACGGAGATCATGAGAGGATCGTTTCTGCTTTGCCATGAAGGCCTCTCCGCCTCCTCGCTATCTTCTGATACGGTTAATAGCTGGAGCTACTGCTTTCGACCCGACCGTCATCAAAGCCGGCTGGGAGTTGGGAGCGTCATTGGCAGCACCTAGCTGCTCAGCCCCCTCAGCCGGATAGGTCTCCTCTTTGTAGGAGCCTAAAATGCTATCGCTTGGGGTGGCGGGGGTTCCGCCGGATGGTTCTCTAACCTCCCCGTCTGGTCGTCGAGTTTCAGAAGATAACTCGTTCGAGTCCCCGCCTCTGTAATTGGGGTCCATTGATGTTCCCCTAATTCTGGCCATGGTGTCCTGCACAGACACGGAGTCGGTCGATACAGGCGTTGAAAAGGGGAAATCCCAAAGATCAGAGGCGGCAGATCCAGTTCTAGTCTCAGCCGTACTAATTGACCGGCTGAGTTCACAACTATGGTCCGGGTACGGGTATAAAGGGTCCATCTACCTATGAGTCTTGTAAACAAAAATGCAAGCAAAAGACTCAAGCGGAAATACATGGAAAAACAAGAAGGAAGAGAGACGGAACATAGAGAAGAAAAGTGTTGGAACCTCAAGAAATTTCTTGGGGATGCTTGCGAAGACACAGGCGGTTTGAATACCGGCTGGGTTGTTTGAAGTACCCTCTCAAAAATATTTTGCTTGCTTGCTACTGCACAGGCGGTCTAAAACCGGCTGCTCTTAAAACAATGAAGTCTCCGTGTGCTCTGAATTTCAAGTACCGGATGCTCTGAAATGCCGGATGCTCTCAAAATTCAAGAAATTTCACGAAGTTTGTAAATGAGGCTTCGTGTGCTTCCTCCCCCATTAATAGGGTTTGTCCCGGAAGGCGAAGGGGCACGACCCTTCCCCTTCTGCTTTTCCCTCTTCCTTCAGTTAGAATTTGAAGGGGTTTTAAAAAATAAATAAATAAATAAATAAATAAATAAATTTTATTGCTCCGTCAACTCTCTTCTCAGGTGCCACATGGCACCCTGCTACGTCAGCACCTGAGAGGGGCAAATGTTTGGGGTAATTTAACCCCAGCCACGTGGCCCAATGGCAGTGCGACACGTGGCATCTCGCCATTGGTCAACAGGGCTCCAATCCCCTGCTGACACGTGTCCTAGGAACCCTAAATGGGGAACCAATGCTCCCCACTATAAATAGTGGGCGAATCCTCATTAATGGGCATTCAATTCCTTCTAAAAGAATTCACTTACATTCAATTAGTATTCAATACACTCATAAATACAATTCGCACAAAACCCGAGCAATCTTAATTGCGGAATTCTCCCATTACGCGAGAAGTAATTACTCTTTTACGCACTTTCTTCCTCCCGTACATCACTAACTTGATCGTCGGAGGCGGAGCTCCACCCAACCGGAGTCTCCGTGGTTTTGCAGGTACAGGCGGTCGAAGGGCATTCTTGGAATTGTAACTCTCCCGCAGGACACACCAAAAAACCCCGAAACAATAATAATAATACAATTAAAATAAGAATTTTTTTAAAAAAATTAGAATTTTATTAATATGAATTCAAAGTTTGTACATTGTTACCTATAAGGAAAATTACAAAATTAAATTAGAAATTTATTAATATGCATTCAAAGTCTTTGCTTGCTTCTGCTTTGCAGCTCTGTGTGTGCAAGCTGCTGTTGGGGCTGTTCTGGTTTTGTCCATCCTCTTGCTGGTTGCAGGTGCTGCCACTGGTGTACTGGTGCTGGCTGTTGATGCTGGATTCTGTTGCTGTGGCATTGCTGGTCTTCAGCTAGTCAGCTGCTCCTTGTCTATCTGTTGGTTCTGCCACAGCCTGCTTTCTCCAGCCTGCTGCTGTTGATATCTGTTGGTGGTGCTTGTTGTTCTTGTATTGCTGGTGCTCTGTTGCTGGAATGTTGTTGAGGTGTTGCTGGCGTGGTATGCTGGTTTTGGCCTGCATATCCTTGCTGTTGGTTATGTCTGCTGCTATTTCTGCCAGCTGTTGTTTTTGCTGTGTTTCTGCTGCCCAAGCTACTGCTTCTGCTGCTGTTTCATCTCAGACTGCCAGCTGGGTGCTTCTGCAGTTTTTATACATCTTAAGCTAAAATCGAGTTACTAAGCATAATCTATAGTTCAACACAATAATACTCTTGATTCTAAAATACTACCAAATGTACCAATAGCTTAATATGATCACCTAACATAACAAGCAAACCTTCCACTTTCCAAGAAAAATCACCATCGTTTAGGGATTAAATCAATAATTTAGACTTTTAATACATCCTAAACTCAAATCACATCGTTATTGGTTCATGATTTTTTCATTTAGCTATTTAACAATGGTGAGCCCCATACCGGATTTCTCTCCTCTCGCCATTTCTCTCCTACTCTGACTAACATACTAAAAATATACTAAAAATTAAAAATTCCCTCAACTTTTTATTTTTTATTTTTTTTGAAGAAATTCCCTCGAATATATAAGTGAAAAAATTAGCTATAGATGCAGTTACTAGGTTAGACATGAATTTTTCACAATCAACTCAATTTCACAATCAAAATTCATAACCCACAAATAGAAGCATATCAACAAAAATTAAAAAAACCAGGCAATATTCGCTCTTAATTTCTAAAGCCCACCTCCCAAAATCAAACATTTAATTCAACAAAAGAAAGTACATATATATTCCATCAGATCAAATTTTATACCAAATACAGAACATATATGAGATGAGAAAGATTATAAGCATCTAGATTCAACAAACACAACATGCAAATAACTGAGGCCAATATCAACCTAAAATAATACCATCCATCCTTGTCGGATTGACCTTTGCATGGCAATGTCGAGAAATCTTCAACAACCAGCCGAGGGTATTGACTCTGAATTGTAAGTAAAATCCAGTGAGTAAAGATATGATTAGAGGAAACACATCACCATACTGTGGTACCTAAAGCAAGAGGCATCAACTCGGCTAGAGTAACATACCTGATTAAATGTGTGAATCTGAACATTTGAATTGGTGTTTTTCAACAATCTGTATGCAATGAGTTTGAAGTCTTGAAAAGATGCTCCACAAGATAAAAGACTAACAACACGGAACATAAAAAAAAGGGTACTTTACCTTAAGTGTATTGTTTCGGGGTTTTCTGATGTCCTGCGGGAGAGTTACAATTCCGAGACTGGAACCGGACGCCTGTACCTGCAAAACAAACGGATGCTCCGGATGATTGGAGATCCGCCTCCGACGGTCAAGTTAGTACTTGCTTAAGGAGTAATTAATGCGGAAATTAAAGTGATTGGGTCTCTCTAGGTGAGAGTGTTTAATGTGCGTAATCCCCCTTAATGAGGATTAAGGGAGGTATTTATAACCTCGGGAAACGCACCAATCCTAGGTTTAGGTTAACCTTGGGCTGATTGGGCTTCCCTCGGAAGTTGGGCCTAGGTGACCGGTTATCCCGGTGTCATGGGAAGGACACGTGTCGTGTCGTAATTGGTCCATAGTGGACGGATCATTGCTTGACACGTGGCAGGCTCCTATTGGCCCATGTGACGGACACATGGCGGAACCTGATTGGTCCACTTGTCAGATGGTGATTGGTGGGGAAAAATCCCCTAATCATTTGCCCCTCACAGGTGGCACGTGACTGGTCACGTGTTACCTGTGACAGGTATCGCCCTGTAACAGGCGACGACCTGCTACAGGTGTCACTCGGCGAGAGGCCGAGAGATTCTCCCGCCAAAATTTTGAATTCTGGAAGTGACCCTTCGCCTTCTCACTTCGCCTATATAAAGGAGTGTTTACTTCGGTCATTTTCACACTTGAAAACTTTGTGAGAGAACATTCGGACCCCTGAACTTGCTCTGACATTTTGGACCCTTTCTGCCTACGGCCTGCTCTGCCAAGCCGACTGCAAAGGATTTTCAGAACTTCATCAATCGTCACTCGTTCAGGTAACCGTCGGTTCTCTTACTCTTAATTTTCTCTTTACTTTATTCTTTTTTGAAATGGCACCACGGAAGCACACGACACGACCTAGGTTAGTGATCAGCCGGTCACCGGGGACGGCTGAATCTAGGACTAGGAGTGCCGCCTGCCCTTTTCTGGACCCATCTTTGCCCTTTATACAAAGTCCGACTGTATCTGTGTCTATGCAGAGCATGATGGCCAGAACAAAAAAGACTGCCAGGATCTCAAACTCAGACGGCTCCTCCGACAGGGTGCCGATTAGTGAAACATCTGACCAGGCGCCAGATGTAGAAGTGAAACAAAGCGGCTTGAAAGCCGGCAGTTCTGAGGGAGGAGTCAAAGTGACCCCTTCCCATTTTACAGTTGACAATTCTTCATTCTCTCCTGCTCCTTTTACAGGAGAGGAGGCGGGCCCCTCCGGGAGAGGGGAAGAGTCGTCCTCTTCGGACTCGTCAGAGGACGATTCCGAGTCTAGCTCTTCTGGCCATGCTTCCCTGGACATAGAAGGGAAAAACAGTCGCCTACAAGAGGCGAGGCTTTCTCACGCAGTTGAGAAGGGGGACGATTGGGCGGAGCCATCCGCCTCTCACCGAGAGCAAAATACCCCCTACTACTGCACGATACCTCGGGGCCGGATCACGGCCATGCAAGAGAAAGTGGAGAGCTTTATCGCAAACCACACAATGGGCCCCGGCTTTTTAGTGTTCGTGCCGGATCCAGAAGACACAGTCGTATGGCCGGCTGGTACCAGTTATGATGGCGCCTGCTTTGGCTGCTACGAGGCGGCCATCAAGGCTGGGTTGCGCTTCCCACTACATCAAGCTGTTCAGCGGATCTTGGATGGGTATGAGTTGGGGTTATGGCCGTAAGCCCCGAACTCCTGGGTTAACGTACTCGGCTATGTGGCCGGGTGCGAACTGCACGGGGTGGAGCCGAGCTTCGAGGCTTTCGCCCACATGAACTACCTCAGCCGGACCCCTAAGGCAGGCGGTACCGGTTGGTATCAATTGATGAGCCACAGGGGCTACCTCATGACGAGAGGTAAAGCAAACAAATGGAAGGACTGGCGGAGCACCTTCCTCATCATTGAGAGTTCAGACACAGAGCTGAACAAGCGCTTCAACAGGTGGAACAAGAGTCCGCCCCTTCTTGCAGGCGGCCGCAGCATGCCGCCTGTTCCCCCCAAGGCTAAGAAAGAGATCCTAGATAAAGGACTCTTCAAAGTAGAGTCGAAGGTGAACTCTACTTCAGGGGTACGAGAGAAAGTACCCCTGCACTGCGTCCCGAGCTTCAAATAGCTCTACAACGAGTACTTTTTGGCCGCCTGTGGCCTCAGCAGTCGGTGCTCAAGAGGTAGCCGGCCTGTCGAATACTCTGCTGTTCCGTGCATTTCTTGTTAGGACTTTTATTAACTTTGCTATTTGTTTTTGCAGCGGACGCCATGAGCAAAATTACCGCCTCCAAGACTGCGGCGGCCATGTTGCGGGCCTCCATCATGCAACAAGCTTCAACCGACTCCCCCAACAAGGGGGCACCCTTGGTGGGCTTCGAACCTTTCACCCTCTTTTTGGAGTTGTGTTTATGCATATACTGACTCTTTTCTTCTTTATTAGATGGGCGCTCCAAGAGCTTCTTCTTCCCAACAGCCGGACCCCAAGGCCCGGAGGACGACTGTTGCGAGCTCTCTTGGTTCTGCCAGGAAACATGCGGCGGCTGAGAAACAGCCGACCACTTCTTCTAAAACTCCAGCTGGGCCACCTAGAAGTATGAAATTGTCCTTGTAAATTTTAGACTTGCTCCCTTCTTTACTAGGTCTAATCCGTTTGTTTATGCTTGATGCAGCCGGCCCTCAGGAGCCTGACTTGGTCGAGGTGGCCAAGTCTATGATCAAGGCCGTTCCTCCAGCTGAAAGGGAGGCGGTCAGGGGTGTCGACACCCTTGACCTAGACGGGATTGCAGGGATCCTTGCTGAGGTATACTTAGCATATTTTTGAGTATTTGAATTCCAAGACACCTGTTTTCTTTTTGTTTGGAAACTGACGCCTGTTCCCCTTTTTACTTAGGCCCTGCTCCGAGTGACCGGCCTTCGCAAGCCGCTTGACCGGAAGAACAAAGAGGTAAAGGCTGCAAAAGCTATGGCCGCCTCTGACTGTGATAAGGCAATGTTTCAAATTGCCCAAAATGAAGTTCTGACCATTGATATTCTTAATTATCAGGCGCAGGCTACCGCCGCTATCCGGGCTCAGTTAGAGGCGGCCCTGAAGAGGAATAGCGAGCTGGAGGCGACCATCAACAACCTCAAGGCCGAGCTGAGACCTCTTCGCCAAAAGATGTCCTCATACGAAACCTTGGAGAAATCCTTGGCGAGCGTAAAGGAACGCCTGGTGACCCAGGAGAAGAGTCTTACTCAGGAGCTCTCGGAAAAGGCCGAGCAAGAAAAGAAAGAGTTGGTCCGGGAGATGATGGAAGACTCTGCTCAAATCCAGCGCATGACTTGGGGCCGCCTCCTCCCCAATGCCGACTTTGCCTCATGGAAAAAAACTTACCGCCAGTCTTCTGATAGATATAATCAGGAGATCTAGGCGGCTGCTGAGGAAGAGGCGTTGGAGGAGGAGGAGCAGCCGGTAGTGGCGCTTGTGCCGCTTGGGGGTAATGCATCAAAGAAGGATGCAGCTGAAGCCGAGTCCAACAAGAAGAGTGCTGACCAGGCGGCAGCTGCTGATATTGAAGATCTGCCCCCTTCTTAAGCTTTATGTCTTCTTCCCACGGCCTGCGTGCCGTTTGTTTGTATTTACCCGGCCAGGGGGCCGGGGCTCTGAATATTTTGCCGGTCTTTAATGACCGGCTTCCTTTTAATGAATATTTTTGTTTTGCTTCAAACTTGTTTATGTATTGAATATTCTGATATCCAATTGTACACTATACCGACTGTTTTACATGGCCGATAGTTGCAGACAGGTACAGATAGTTAGTCACGCCGCCTATGCCCCTGGACGACTGGTCGTCTGTTTCCAGGCTAGACGATCAGTCGGCCATTTATCCAATCGGTATTCGAACCATTTTAAAGACTGGATCCCCTTTAGGCAGGCGGTTCTGTCATATAAAATTAACCAAGTAGGAAAGTGGTTTCCTACTTGTCATGTTTTTAGGCTAGAGACTTTAGGCCGTCTAGGCCGACTGTTCCCCGCCATATTTAATCTAGTGTGAGCCGGTGCTGTATGAAAACCTTTTTAGTTTCATAGTAAATTTTTAAGGAGTGACCAAGTAAACATGATTGTTACCTAGTCGCCAAGTAACTAAGTAGTAGAGGTATCAAGCGGTGGGTACCGGTTGTTCCCCTTTATTCGCCAATGTTTGTTGGCTTTTAACTCATAGGTTGTTAACCTAGAAGGAGTAGTGGTTGAGAGCCCCTGTTTGCTAAAAACAGGCGGACGACTCATACCTTTTAGGCTCCATACTAAGTTTGAGAGAGTGACTATGAGTTAACTTTGGTGTTACTCAGTCGCCGTCATTCCTGCTTGAGTAGTAAAGGCACCAGGCGGCGGAGGCCGGCTGAACCTTTTGATTCGCCAATGTTTGTTGGCTATTAACTCAAGAGGTACCCCCTGCATTATCCCAAGTAATACAGGCGGTCATCTGACTCAGTTGTCAACTGCTACCACTGGTTTGGTTAGTGATAGAGTTATCCTTGTCTCAAAAACGGCTACGTGGTTGCCCTTGGGGACAGTCGTATAGGTGCCGTGTAATTAGTTTATAGAGCAATGTTCCACCCAAAAGGGAGCTGCTCTCTGCGACGAATTTCATCCGGAGGGATGCCGCCGGACGCCTGCTATGATGTTGGTACATGTCGTATTAGTTTTGAAGATTGGATCAGTTGGCTTGGCGCCTGGTCTGATCATTCGGCCTGTGGCCTTGGTTAGTTCTTGGTGAACGTAGGTGCTAAGTAAAAGGAGGGTAGCCGCCTGTTTAGGCACAGGGTCGGCCAGGCCCTGATCATTTTTAGTTAAGTATAAGGGGGGTGGCTGTGTGTTTGGAACCAGTCGGCCCTCTTCTATGGAGAGTAGCCGACTATATGTCCAGACGGCATGCCCCTATGGTGATAGAATAAAATATTCAATGGAGAGTAGCCGACTGTAAAGGTACAGGCGGCATGCCCCTCTGAAGATA